AATATTCATGTTTATGTAAATTAAAATTTTTTATACAAGATAAATTGGGATAACATTAGATTTATTTGGTTATGGTAAAAAACAACAGAGCTATTTGTCTAAGAAGAAAGTTGCATCTGCGGAGGGCTTTTAGTTACATTATGCACGAGGAAGACCACAAAAATGCCCGTGCAGCCAGCCCAGTGGTTGGAAAATGAACCGAGATCAAACTACCCGAGTTAGCAAGTTAACAGTTTTATCCGCTCTGTAACTCGTGGGTTTATTTAAGAAGAAAGGGGCTGAAATTTTCAGAATTTAATCAGCTAATTCAGAATAAGAATTTAATACTGTCTTTTGTTTAAACAGCATAGTTTATTTTCGATTTGATCATTATTCCTCAAATTTATATACAGGTTTCATCATTTTAGAAACGTTATCTTAATACATGTTGAAGCTAGACTACATTACCTCGATTGTTAATATTTCTAATCAAAAGGTTCAGGTTTTGTATATCTTCACATTACTGAAGGCCTGAAATTTAATCAATATCGATTTCTATAGCTATATCACAATACTGACTGTTGATTGACATTGATAAGACGGCTTATTTCACAAGATGTTCTAGTGTTCAACGAAAGATATATATTACAGATAAGATTCCAATCGCTGCTGAAGTAAGATAAAACCTAATTTCTTCTTGGTATTATCAGTGTTATTGAATGTAATTCTAAAGCAGTTTTGATTTGAACGTTTTTATAGGCAATAAATAACATTTGCACAGTGCGTTCATAGAAAATTAATAATTTCTAATAATTAATTTTTAGATCTGATTAATTAATACAGAAAGTTTCCACCAGTACTTAAATAATAATATAATATCATTTATTATAAAAATAATTCATAAATGATAATACAGATTTCAAAATTATTAATATGATTAAGATGTCAAATTGTTTCTACGCAATATATTTTAGAATTAATATCTCAAAATACTTTTGGCATTCAGAATATACATCACAGAAGATGTAAAGATGAAATTTCTTTCTTGAATTAATTTTTCCACTGTGTTGTACATCCTGGCTCATTATTTTAATTTTGGAAAAAAAGTAACACCTGTTATGCAAAAAAATATAATTACAAAACGCACGTTACGTTATTTTATTTTAAAAAAATTACCTTAAAAATTTAAATATGCTATATTCTTTGATTAATGCATTATTAATATTTGGATATTGTTACGAACATCAAATTCAGGGCTCATGTTATTATTATTATTATTATTTACGTTCTTTTTTTTAATAAAACTTACGTTTTGCAAATTAAGATTTCGAAAACTTGTTCCCTTGTTCTGTTAAACTTTACTCATGTTCAGAATAAAAACACGTTATTTGCTTGCTGTGTTGCTAAAACTGTCCAGAGTATTTTTATTTTATTGTATGAAGTGAAAAGGAAGTATTGTAATCGCGAAAAATTTCGGGTGTCATATTTCAACGAAAATATCCATTTTGACCGTTATAGAATGCAATTTAACAATGTTTTTGTACGTAAGGACAGAACAAAGACCTCTTTTCACAATATATATATATATATATATATATATAAATTAATATTAAGTAAGTGAATATATATATATATAAAACTGATTTAAAATGAATTCTGAAGAGATTTTTTTCGTGGCTCTGTACGTACGTACATACGAACGTATCTCCCAAGCGAGTAGGCCTTGAACGTTGAAATTTTGTACATAGGACTGCTATAACATGCAGATGGGCATCTCCCATTTTGGTTGCAATCGACCGCACCAAAAGTATTTAATATATGCAGCAATTGCGCAAGTAGTAATAACTTGTATTCGCACTAAATGGATTTAAGATTATATATATATATATATACCCACTTTGTTACTTGGCTCAGTAAGCTCAATTTCTTTATTCTTGTATGTTTGCAAATTGTGCATTCTTTGCTTTAAGAATGATTGAATTATGTTATTCTGGTTAAGTTTGGTTTGGTTTATTAGATTACGGCAAAGCACTCGAGGGCTATTTACTTTAAGGAAGGGATGCATTCGTGTTAGACTTTTTAAGGGAAACTGGCTCGTATACGTGTTACACGTGGGGTAAACCACGAAAACACCCATGCAGCCAGCCCGTTCGCGGGGATTCGAACCTCAGACCGAACTACCAGTGTTAAGCGACGTTACCGCTCAGCCGCTGGTGGGCCTGTTCTGGTTAAGATTTTTTTGCCTTTAATTAGCATGCATACAATAATTCTGGAATTATCAACAATTTAAAAGTTTTTCAAGTGCGTCTAAGACTAATTTTTGATTACCATGGCAGCCATGTTTGTTTATATTTGAAATTTAGCAGAATAGTGGATTTGTTGCCAATCTAGAGAAACTAAGCTTCGCAACAATAAACTAATGTCTTCTTTTATTATTGCGAATTAAATTAAGTCATTCTGGAATTATCATTTAAGTTATTAGCTTGTTTTTGCGTAGAAACTGTAATTTTAATTGTAAAAATTGTTTTTTAATTGTTTTACCTCTACTTGGTGTTTTATGTTTTCCTGTTTTTCTAGATCTTTCAATTTTTAATGAAAATGTTTTGAATTTTTGTGTATTTTTGCCTTGCCGCGAAGTGAGCACTGAATTAATTAGTAACGCATGTGCATTAGGTAAGCGGCGTTCAATCGTCTGCGAAAAACTGTTTCTTTTTATTTGTTTAATTTCTTTTATACATCGTCTTAGATTTATTATAGTATCTGAATAGAACTTGTGGTAATTCTTTAGATGATATAATTTTTGTGCACTCTGAGTTATAAAATGAATGAGATATAATGCTGCTAAGTAAACCTAGCGCCGAAGTGTAAATAAATATAGAGAACTTTAAAGTGTGCATTTATTCTATTGTGGTTTATGCGCTAACCAAGTAGATTTAGTTCAAAATTCGTTAACTGTTAATTCAATATGTTTAAATGAAATGCAGGAAAATTGCATATAATTTTAATATTCCTTACAAGGAAGTCATGTGGTGTACACATCAGATTTTTTTTCTCAGAAATATTAACTGAATTTTGTAAACTTGAATTAACGATATAAAAGACTTTTTAAAACCTTTTATCCTGAATTAATGTCTGATGATTAAATTTTCCCACATTTTTATTTTAAAAACACCAAGATAAAATGTTACTAACTTTATTGCAAAGCTTTTGCAATTTTTTTATTGATAAGCGTATACGATAGCGATTAATCTTATATTTAAAGATTAATTTTGTAGTTTATTTTGAAAAACTGATTTTGTACTTTATTTTTCGCTTCAAGCATATATATATTAGCAATAAATTTTGATTTTAAAATATGATGAATGAATTTTGCATTTTACTTCTCATTTTAAACGTTCCTGTTATAATTACTTGTATTTTTAATATATCGAGAAATAAAAAAATAACTTTTATGTTTTGTTTTTTCATTTAATATATGCCCTATATTATAAATTATTTTATTTTACCTAATATCTATTTGAATAAATTACACAATTTTCAGTTTTAGTTTCATTTATAGTTTAATGATCTAGATATACAATGTTAGGTGTGTATGTTAATCTATAAATCAAAACTGGCTGCTTTGGCTGAATTAATCGACTAAGACATCCGTCTATGGAGAATTGTGCCTTTGGGGAGAACTTTCTAAAGGAAACAGACTCATGTACACATTACACACAGAAAGAACATAAGAAACACTCATGCAGTTAGCACGTTCACCTAGATTTGTGCCTCGGGCAGACTGCTAGTGCTTAGTGTTTTTATCTGTTCAGTCACTGGTGCATTAATACTACTAGAAAAAGATTGCCTATACTTGTCTAACAGTATTAGGTAAGTATTAATTAGTGCAATATATTAACTATTTAAGTTCTAGAAGTTATTTCAAATAAAGCAAGAATTGTAAAGCACATTGTTCAAATATGAAAATGTCAAGAAACATAATTTATTAAAAATTTTGTGCCGTGAAACATAAAAGCTTAAAAATTGTTTTTCCAGCACTAATCTTTCACAAACTTTAGATTTTCAGAATTTGATTAGAATGACATGATGATAGATTTTAGAAGGAATATTTTATTACTGCACAAAAAAATTTCTTATTCAGTAATTTTTTTTATCAGATATTCCACGTAAAAAGATAAAAATCATACAATAAACATTTTAAATACAAATTAAATTTTATAAGAGACAAGAAAAATAAATATTTTGCTCTTTCAAAACAAATAGCTCAGTTCCCTCATTACATTCGCTACAGTTCTTCATTCTTTTATTTTTTATAACTCTTAAACAGAAAATAAGATTTGGATAATCATCTGAAATGAACGGAAAACGTGAACTTAGATGCGAAAACATTTTGAAGAAAGGCGTACAGATATCCAATTATGAGAGTACTTACTAAATAAAATTTTTAGAAATACATAATGAGGATCTTTAATTAGCAGTTATTTAATGAAGATCTTTAGCTATTACTTAATGAAGATAATACTATTGAAGCAATTACTACTAAACCAAAGCAAAGTACCTACATATGATTAAATCTCAATGCTATATAATAATATTTATCAATTATTATTATCAAAGATTCTTCTCAAAAGCAGATTTCATGTTTAAGCACATATTTAAGAATGCTGTAGAAATACAAAATTATTATAATATAAATATGAAAAATTTCATTACGACTTTTTTTATATAAATTTAATTAACATCGCACCCGATAATTTTTATCGCACCTAGCAATCCACGAGGAAGACTATATTAAAGTACCTCCATATATAAAAAATTAAAAAACTTTCTCCTTTTTGGATTTTCACAGTAGTATATTTACGTTCGCTGCAGCATAAAATTATAATTCGGGTGCATTTACAAATATTATTATATATTATTTAAAAATACATTATATTATTTACAAAATTAAAAAATTTGTATTTTATAAATAATATAAATCTGTTAGAATTTCTTAAACAGGAGAGGAGAGGATCACGAACCGTGCGTAAGGGATCCGTTCCTCTTGATGTCCATCCCTGTGCAGCTTAGAGAAACGTCAGCTTTTTGGAGAAATGTGAGAATGAAAAATCTCCCAAACCAGCAACGCCTTAAATTTTAATTGAGGAAAGGTTCGATAAACAAATAACTACTGACTTGACCTTTTGATTGAGCTCGAGAAACAACTTTCAAGTTTTGCAATGTTTGCCCCTGAAACTGTAAAAATGCTTTTCTTTTTTTGATTGGTGTTCCTTATCTTGCGTTTAGAGAATGTTTTGAAAGAGAGTTTTGGTGTTTACCGCGTCATATCCTATCTGCCTATAAGTGAGGAATGTAGTCTTCAGATAACTGTATACCTAACTTTTCGCTTTCAGTTCTTCTTTCCATTAAGGTAGGAGTAAGAACTATACAGCTGTTCTTATCTTGCTTTCCTGTCTTAGATTTAGTAACTGAAAATAAATGAATCAACCGGATGATTAATTCCTCTATATATACAATACAATATTTCATTTATAAAACATTGTATTCTTGTGATGAATGTTCTGTCATGACATCTTTTAATAAAGGAAACGAAATTTCGTCCCAACTTGTCTAGTAAGGGTAAATATTTTTCTGCTAAATGCGAAAAAGAGAACATTTCCTGTTACGCTTTTTCCCCGAGGGGTGAGAGGAAGGTTCAACAGTCTAGTACAGAAAATGGTTGCATAAAAACATCTCATACTTCACTATTGGAGACCAATAAAAAATAAATTCATATTTGTTAATTTAAGCACAATTTCTTAATATAGCGAAAATAAATTTTTAGATAAAAAGGCCCTTGGTTAGCTGTATGTCACTAGTTCCAATGCCTAACTATGGTTTTAAAGTGAAGACAATAAGTATTATAATACTAGTGGCTCTATTATCTTTTTTCTTAAATTTAAAGAAAATTCCTAAATAGCAATGTAGTACTATCAATCCAGCCTTAATCGTCCGGTTTCCTTCTTATGTGGCAAACAGCAATACTATTTCAATAATTATTCGAAATATTTTCATCAAGATAACTCACATAATAGTAATAAGATACTGGTTTTAGGTTCCAATTATAGTTCTAAGAATTTCATGAAGAGATAATAATGTAAAACTAGTTCTAGTTAAAGTTCATTTTTTTACAGTTATTGACAGCAATGTATGCATTTTAAGAACCTGCAGAAAGAAAAATTGGATAAGAATGTAGTTATAATTCTAATCCCGATTGCACAAATATCGATTTTTTTTTCTGCTCTAGACAACATTAAGAATTTGCAAGTCGTAATGAAGCTCTGAGCTCCAGTTTTTCCTGAACGTATTACCAGTATTAAAAGGTCATAAAGTTTAGTGCAATGGGAAATGATAAAATAAATCCAAATTTTTTACTCTTTTAAAAACAGTAGAAGGAAATCATCTAGAAGCTACCTCGTTAGATGACTTCAGTCGAAACTAAGATAAATACTTCATACACACAGATAATCAAGTTAATAGTTTGATATAGTAAATAGGAGATATAATTACAATTTTTTCGAGGAAACATCTAATTAATATTATAAATCAAGAGTCATGGTTTGCTTTTGCAATGAAAAGTCTGTCTTTTTATTGATTAATTAATACCTAAAATAAATTTAAATTTCAGGGTATCTCCTTCATACTTTTGCAGTTAAAAAGAAATTTATATTTAACGTTCGAAATAATCCAGCGTATTTACGTAATTTACACTGATTCTTGTTGCTAATGTATCTTTTACACATTAGTGATCACTTTTAATTATTGATCTGGATCATTATTAAATTCATGAGAGCTTTGTTTCTCAGTTAACATTTCTATTTTCCAAAAGTCAGATTTGGTCGCTTTCAATCTGACTCATGCTTTTGAATACGTATGACTCAGATTAACTTTCTATAAACTCAATATAACTTTCATGTACGAGAAAAACATTTCACATGCGAAAACGGAAAACAGCGTAGTTGCGAACATTTAAGCAGGGATATACAATATTTTTCAAAAACTTAATATTTTTATCAATAACATGAATTATATTGTATTAATATTATGTATAAGGCTTCTATGTTTAATTTTCTATTTTCGTGGCGTCATCATACATCAAACGCGACAACGTGCAGTTTCGAAATTAAACAAACAATTCCAACATCATTAAAACGCATTTAAAGGAGATTAAAATATTTATCAAGAAACAAAAAGCAGTATCATGTTTATTAACAGCTGTGAACTCAAGGTTAAAGTATGACATCGTCACAAATGTATTGAAAAGCCATCAATTAAGTTTGCACTTTTATTTAAATTAATAAGATTATTAGAACCGTGAACAATAAGCAATCCAAGAGAGTTGGCAAGATAATTGGTAAGAAAAGCATATTTCTCAGAGTGATAAATATTCAAATAAATAAGGTTGCATTAAAATCAGCATATTAAATTCAATACATAAAATTATAAAATTTTCACAGTAATTCTTGTCTATAGAACCAGGAAACACGAAAAATCAACATGCGGTATTACTTTCGAGTGACTTATAAAATTTTTTGCTGCATAGTTTTGGACTGATATAAAACTTGCATAACTGCTCTCCGCATTAATCGGGTAAATTAGAATGTTTCACGCATACGTTCATTTCTTATAAGGCACTAGATTGTTTTCTTGAGTAGAGCTACCAAATTTAGGTAAGAATTATAAATGTCAGATGGATATTCATTTGTAAAAAAATTAATTATATTACAAGATAGCAAAATATTTCAATCACGTTGATTAATAGTAATTAAAAAGAAGTTATTTTACTTTAGGAATGACATATCTGAGGCATCTGACTGACGAAAAGGAATAAATGCCTTTAGTTCCTCTACTAAAGCTAACTGGTATTTAAATTAAAGTAACTGAGATTTACATTAGCCGATCCAAATATTTCTAACCGTACATATAAAAATGGTTTATCAATAAATTCCTATTGCAGAGATATAGTAATAATTTTAAATGAATAAATTTAGTTTCTTTTGTTAAATTGCCTGCGTTCGTTTTTGACTGTTTACTGAATGAATTGATGTACTAGCTCAGTGGTTTTAAACTGGTTGCCTGCATGCCACCTCTGGAGGAATTTTACACAGCCCACAAATATATTTCAATTATATACATATTATAATAAATAAATTGCTTATAGTTTTAGAGACATAGAGATATGGACCGAGCTTAAGCGCGTGCTTGATTATGAATGGAAAAGAGATAGAAGGAATATAGGGTGAGGATTTGTCACTATATGCTTGGTTTAAGTAATGCGCACTATAGAGAGTAATCATATCCACGTATCTTTCCATGAATGCCGATTTTATGTGGCATGGCGGTCATACCCAGCGAATGTTTCATGAGGTAGTACTCAGATAACGTTTCGTGGTCGGCAGGAGTACCCAGTGAAAGTTTAGTGGCCATCGCCAATGGGGAGCAAGAGTACTCAGGGAACGTTTCGTGGCCGGCGTCGATGGGCGGCAATAGTACCGAAAGGATTTTAAAACTGAATATAGCTCTGTGATTAAATTTTTGTTTAAAGAAAGGCTTAATCCTAAGAAATAAAATAAAACTTGGATCATGCGTATGCGAAATGGTAAAACAATTTGGCATGTGCTGAAATTCTGTAGAAGATTGAAGGCTGATTATTGCAAACACTGACATCGGAAAATATTACTCATGTTGAGCATTAAATACTGACTGACTGCAGATTAAAAAGTCAAAGAGGTAGCCGCAAGATTGGATCTATCTGAAAATACTGTTCTGAGCATTCTGTATGAATATCTAAAGTGAGCAAAATCTCTGCTAGATGGGTAGCCTGACAAGTAACAGATAAGAACATATCATTTACTGTGAACATTTGTTGCATATTTACATTGCAAATGAGAGCAGTGCATTTAAACCTATATTATGATGATATAATGGCTGTGTTATTTAACTCTCAAGGAACAGTGCATCTTATTAGTCTTTAAAAACGTTTAGACGCCTCGTTTTTCTGCAACGAAGTGTAATGCATTATTTTACTAGTTCTCATTCATGCCAGGGACGTTTAATTTCTTAATAAGCAAGACATTATCTTGTTCCCAACATGTAACACGTATGAAGGTAGATCCAAAAGTTTCTGTATATTTAAAAGAAATGGAGAGTTTAACAGTTTATTTTTCTTTACAATCTCCTTATACTTCGATACACTTGCCTTATCGTTTAAGGAGCAGTTCTATGAAGAACTACTTATTAAACGATGCGACAATGGTTTGGTTTGCTCTCAAAATGTTTGAAAACTGTTTCCATACCATCACAGTCATTAAATATCTTCCTTCTCTTTTTTTAGTTCTGTTAAAAAACGAATAATAATAAAATGAAACTGAATAGAAGCTAAACGTATTCAAGCTTTTTAAATCCACATTTCTTTAGTGCTTTTTCAACAATGACAGCTGAATGCACAATAGCATTATCAAAGAAATGATGAATTCTGCAATTCAGCATTCCGCCCCTTTTCTATGTAATTTCATTTCGCAACGCAAGCAAAATTTTGCCTAACATTCTTCCTTAATGGTTGCATTTCTTTCTTTAAAGCCTATCAGAATAATCTCCAACATTACCAAAATGGTGGCTGTTATCGTTTTCTTTGATTGCTCCACTTTTGCCTTTCTTCCTGGTACACTTTCTCCGTCTTTTTTCCTTTCCATTGATATACTGTAATTCTGTATTGATATCTCTTTATCTGTTGCTGCTCTAAAACTTGTTTGCATTCTTATATATGAACTTCTTACTGTACATGAAGTGAGAGCGTAATTGATATGGACAAAAATGTAACCTTTCTCGCTGTGAATCCTTCAAAATCAAATAATATAATGGATCACACTCAAGTTGAAGATGCCACAGTGCTCTTCATACGAAATACTCTAACATTCAAAAAAAGAGTTATCTTATCAGACAGAATGCTAGATTCCCACCAAAGTTATCCAGTCACTAACATGTTTTGAAGGACTGATACAGCATGGGAAATATCTTTCCACATAAAAGAACTGTCATTTACAGTAATGTTTTAAATTACAGAACTTTTAATATCCATATCGGAATATCTTCCATTCTATATTTTTC